ACATTTATATTATTATCAGCGTTTTCTTAAGTATTGCAGGCGCACTATTGAACCTATAAAAAAAAGTTTCATACAAAAATTGTTCAATGTATTGGTGTTACTCTAATAACTGATTCTCAAAACTTTTTATTTATATTACCCCAAGATTGTTGAAATCTTTTAAATATTAATACATTAGGCCCAGATGTTTCACCAAATTTGACATCAAAAACTCCTTTTAATACAATTTCGTAAATATGGTGACGGCAAGGTAAATATATTACATCACGTTCTAATAACTGTTCTAAAATAATACATGCTCCGTTCAAACGGTCAGTATTTGAATTAGTTGTGTCACAACAAAAAAACGCTTGAACCTGTTCTGTTAAGCACCAGTCAATAAGCATTTTGAACACAGCAAAAACTTGATCATTCTCGGTGCCAGTGTTTATAAAAGGGACACCTAGAAGTTGTTCCTGGCCACTGCAAGAAGTAATTACAGGTAATCTATCGACTAACTTTTTACTTGTAATGGCAGGAAGAAGTTTTCCGTCCCACTGTAGCACAATTACCTCATCTCTTTTTACCATAAAATCCTGTCGTATTTTTTTTGCACGTTCTTGACGGAACCGTAATCGAGAGCGTCGAACCGATGATTTATTCAATATTAATTTACTAGAATTAATACCAAGGACAAGGAGACACCCGATTGTCATATTAATAGGTGGAAATTTGACATCGGGAGAGACGCTGGTAAGCGCCAGCCTTGAGCGTAGCGCGGTGTCGCGTCAAAGATATATTAAGTGATTCAGGTATCATATTTTCTAAAGACCGTATAGTAGTTCCTTGTGTTTTAAGAATAAAAGTGTTAAATCCACTACATATTGATAATAAATATAAAGTAAGAGCTAAAGAAGTATTTTATTGGCCGGCCATATAATGAAATTGAAAACTTTATTATAAAATGTAAGTTATGTGAAAAATATAGTGTCTAATTTAAAAAAGCCATAAAAGACCGGTAAGTTCCGATCGGCTTTCGGCTTACATTTGCATACAACAAAAAAATTCAAATACAGTACTAACTCTTTTAACAAAATCAAACTATAATAAAAAAACTCTCAATCTACGACTTCGAATCTGCCATCTCCCATCTATCGGATTTTTTACTATTAAATAACATACGGGGGATTACCCTGCCAACGATCGGAATGAATCGCGACAAAATTCCTATTGAAATCGGAGCGCGCTCATTTACTATTATTTGCTGTGCCGAGGATTAAATGTAAGAATATGCGCGACGGACCAACTCTACCGCCACTTGTGCCATCAGTTCCATCTACCAGAACACCGACATTTCATTAAAAACAATCATTATATTTAATTATATTTTTGTATTTTGTATTATTTAGTTATTTATTTATATTATTTTTTTTTGTTGTTCTTTTCTCACTCTTTCAATTAATTCCAAAAGCGTTCATAATCATTCTTAGAGTTTATTTTATTACTACACAGTAGTAGGGTGAAAATGGGGATACTAGGCCCTCTCCGCTTCACCCACCCACCCTACCACCGTAGTAATGGGAAGAGGGGCGGAGGTGGAGTAAATCCAACGTAAACTAACATAATACAATGGGAGGGGGAACGATGATGTAACCCAACGTAAACTAACCTAAATCAGGTGAGGAACCTCTCTTCCTCCTCCAAGTCTTATGAGAGAGGGGTAATGAAACTTAAGGTAAACAAACCTATAGGTGGGAGGGGGGAGGAATGAAACACGACGTAAACTAACACAACTTGTCACGCGCCTAAATTATGCTCGCCCATATATACATAATATCGGTTTTTTGACGAAATAAAGAAAAATGCATTTTCCAGGTAAGCTATACGGTTACGGTGAAAAGTACAATTTTTAAACGTCGAATCCGCTATTTTGATATGCCACATGCATATATTTAGATAAAGTCCATACGTAAAATGTTAATTTTACCTAATTTGTGAAAAAAAAAAAAATTAGTTCGAAACATTGTGTGCCAGATGGCTGTATTGATGATTACACTATAGCACTTGAGATTAATACAGCAGATGGCCCAACGCGGCGGCGACGGCGTCGGCGATGTCGCCGTCAATTAGATTAATTGTTATTATACGAGTTAATAAGCTTGACCGTTATTCGTATAGTGAATAATAAATCAATATTTTTTTTTGTAGACAATATATACTAATGACGACTTTTCAAGTTTTCTTATAGCAAAACACATTCTTAAATAAACACTACCGCCGCCGCCGCCGACGACGACGACGTAATCACTGGAACATATATATTATAATGTTTATAATATTATTATAATCTGTATTATACTTATCGATTAATGTCGTACATATATATTTTGTCTGAATTATTACTGGTATCCCCCCCATTGTTATAAATTATTACCGTATTTAACAACTGTAATAAATTATTTTTAATAAAATAATAGCTTCGACTGGAAGGATTGCATTCTTCATCCGTCAACGCATTAGAGACGGCAGACGGTCATAATTTTTACAAAGGCATCTGTTTTAAATCCTAATGACATATATGTGTAAACATTTCACTTTAAGACTGAATGTTTTCACGCCATTACAAATGACAAATTTACAAATTTATCAATTAATTGTCTTGGGTGACGTTTATAAAAATGTAACAAGTGCTGTATAACATGTAGAAACCTGAATATTTTTTCTCAGACCACTTGATATACTTTGGTCATTATGCTCGCGATATACGATGTACTTGTGCGATTAATGACCGCGCACTGACATCACTGATGCAGCGGATAATACAGTAACAATCCGTATTTATAAAGACATCAATAATGATTATATTCACTCTTTGACTAAGCGTTATTAGCGGCTCGCAAACATATTGCTTAAAAATATTCAGTTAAACGTATACAAGTACTAGTATTTATTTATTTATTTTTTTTTTTTTAAATTTAATATTGAATAACAATGGCTGATGTATATTTTACTGGTGCTGCACAAGGTAAGTTTTTTTGTTTGTATATTTCGATATTTTCGACGTACAAATTGTTTCTACACAATTTTTGATTAAAGCTACCTCGTGTACATCTGTTTCGTCACACCAGGCGGCTAAGAGTAGTAGGGCCAACAACAGCGCGGTTAGATCGAAAAGGTTACGTATGCAATTGACGGATACCCGTGATTTCACCGAGATCGATTCCGCCTTGGAGCGGGGGGCCGTTTGGTTTTACCGGAAGAACGTGGAAAATTTCGCGTTTTGAAAATTTGAGATTTTCTGCGCGCCGTTAAACCTGCGCTGGTGGCCAGACTCGCTGAAATCGTAGGTAACCGTCCGATCAAGTATAATCTCAAATTGGAGGCCTTGTAACGTGACAAAAGTATCTGGTTGTTTTTTTTTGGTCTATTTGTATATATATATTTGTGTTGAGCCGAATGCGGACTGCGACGGCGTTTGTTGGTAAAATTATCGTGATAAGGTGTTGTGATTTGTTTATGCGCGTGCGAGATAGTCAGCTGTGTACTACTTCAGACCGGTTCATGGACGGCATTTGTGTGTACATTCACCCCGCTCCTTTCCTATCTTGAACGTCATTTGCACTGCTCACCGCATACATTGTCGCCATATGATTAAATTGTTTTTAATAATTTCCGGAACTGGGTATTTAGTTATATTTTGACCCCTACTCTAAAGGCTAGCCGTTTGGTCGCCAACGGACCGCCGGGTCAAACGTCGGACGGGTTGTCGGAAATTAGCCATCGTCGGAACTGGTACGCTAATTTTCGTCCGTAGCGCGGTTGTGATTTTTTGTTGTGGGCGTTACAACTGTTTTTTTATATAGATATATTTTTTCGTGAGTGCCCGCTATTTTTTTTAGTATGTAATTTTTTTGTTTATGGCGTCGGCTAAGCCTGCCTCCAGTTTCTTTAGCCCTTAGGGGCTGGTAATGTATATTTTTGCTTTAATGTGTTGAGCCAGTTTTTTTTTAGTGCGCCGTGCCATAAGCACGTGTGGCGAATTTTTTTTATATAGTTTTTTTTGTAGGTGTCCCTATATTTTTTTATTTAGGTCCCTCAACATGGCAGGCGTGTTCCAATACCACCTGTCATGTTATATATGTTTTATTATAGGTTTTATATGATGTTTTATTGGGTGATGAATATATTATTTGTACAATGTGGTGACGTAGTGCATTTTATTCCGGGGTGTCCCAACGTCTTGCAAGCTAAGCCTAACTGCAAAAAACCAGTCGCTTACTTGGGACGTATACCCGCCGTGCTTAGCGGCAATGCTGCGATTAATAGCCGGCGGGTACCCGAAGACGTTCATCGTATTCTATAATAATAAAAGCGTAGGTGTAACTATTTTTTTTATTAATATCTATTTTTTTTTTCTCTTTCTTTGTTCCCCTTTAATTTGTAGACGAGGTTTTTTGACCATTCGGTTTTTTGCCTCGTAGTAACTTAATTTTTTTTGTTTTTTTTTTTTTAATAAAGTCCCCTTAACTTAACTTAACCATCATCTTTGTCTTTTTTTTTTTGCGTGTTCCATCTTCAATAGACTCGTGTATTTTTTTTTTCCTTTCAAAAATCAACTCCCCTAGTTTATAAGGTACGGGCAACGGCCTTGTATAAGGTCATCCCTGATCTATATGGTTATGTGACAACTGTCACGAGGTTTTGATGTACATCTACTATCAACGACTCAACGGACATCAACTTTAATATTTATTAATTATATATTTGTTTCTAATTGTTTTAATATACAATAGTTAATTTTTTTAAAATCCTACTGTGGTCCGACAATACACTGTCTCGCCCAGTAGGTTGGCGACCCTCTTCTTATAATTTTGTAAAACGCCATGAAAGTTACAAATTTTTCGTTGCGGCCAATTAATTTGATTTTTTTATATATTTGTAACCTTTCAGCCTCTTACCATATACCTCGATCAGAAGCACCGTCCGAAGACCGTGCCTTCAAGACACGAGATAGAGCATTGTTATCCGATACGGATATGTGGTGTGCGGTCGATGAAGATTTTGAGGTTATGCTTGCCGAAGAAGACGCGTACTCGGGTAGGGGTAGCGGATTCACGCTAACGCATATCGACGGCCTTATGCTCAGCGTATACAAGTATACGCCCCTCGCCGGCTCATCATATATTCCTGTCCCACCAGAGATTAACCAAAGAAAAGCAATCATCAACCCACAGAATATCGATCAGTCTTGTTTCAAGTGGTCCATTTTGGCGAGACACGTCGAGGCAGACCACAAATATCGCGTTGATCGAAAATATTTTAACGAGGAACACAGGTATGATTTTACGGGGTTGACGTTCCCCACACCTGTGTCCCAAATTAAAATATTTGAGCGACGAAACCCTAACGTGTCTGTCAACGTGTACGGCTTGGAACGAGACGACGATAAGATGAAGTGGTTGGTGTATCCTCTAAGAGTCGCCGACCAAGAGCAACAGAATCATTTTGACCTGTTGTACATCGGTGACTCTGAAAAGTCACATTACGCGTACATTTCCGATTTTTCGAGGCTCGTGCGCAGCCAAAAAACTAATCACAAATGCCGCATATACACTTGCAAACGTTGCTTCACCAGCTTTGATGATCAGCCCAAAAAGCACATTCTTCGGGGTCAACAAGCGTTGGAGCAACACAAGTTGATATGCGGCAAGAACAAGCCTATTTTACCCGTTATGCCGGCGGAGGGCAGTAAGGTCGAATTTGACGCGTGGGTAAAGACGCAACGGTTACCGTTTGTCATCTACGCCGATTTTGAGGCCTTACTGGAGAAAACAGACGATCGTATGGGTGCATACACCAGGACTGTGCACACCCACCATCCCATGAGCTATGGGTTCATGGTGAAAACATCGGACGATGTGCCCTCCGAGCTCCTCGAACGCTACGGTATACCACAATCACCGGTGATATACCGTGGGTCCGAGGATCGCGAAGAGGTCGCCAAGGCATTTGTGATGGCTGTAACTGAAGTGACGCGCAACATTTCTAAATTGTTGCGCAAAACCAACGTTCCCATCCGAATGTCTGTCGAAGATGTGCGCAGGCACGGGGAGAAAGTGGTATGCGACTTGTGCCGCACGGCATTCAAGGATTCCAACCCCAAAGTCGCAGACCACTGCCATTTATCGGGCCGATTCAGACAGACGTTGTGCAATGCATGTAACCTGAAAGTAAAGACGGTCAATTTTGTGCCGTGCTTCTTGCACAATCTTTCGGGTTACGACGCGCATTTCATCGTCACTGAATTGGGGTACGACGACCAAAGGATTTCGGTCATACCGAATTCCGAGGAGAAGTATATTTCGGTCACGAAACACGTGACCAATAACTTCTCCATACGGTTTGTCGACACCTTCCGATTCATGGCCTCCTCCCTGTCCACCTTGGCCGGTAACCTAATGACACCCGATTTCGTTAAATTCCGGGAGACGGCCAAGGTGTTCCGCCCGGAAGACATGCCGTTGGTGACGCGTAAGGGCGTATACCCCTACGAGTACACTGATAGTTGGGCTAAATTGGAAGAAACGGAACTACCACCTCAGGACGCTTTCTATAGTCAGTTGAGTGAGTCTAATATTGATGACGACGACTATAGACATGCCACGGAGGTGTGGAACCGTTTCGACTGCTCAACCCTCGGTGAGTACAGCGACCTATATCTTAAGATCGACGTGTTGTTGTTGGCTGATGTGTTTGAGAACTTCCGCGACATCTGTATTTCAACATACAATTTGGACCCGGCGCACTATTACACCGCGCCTGGTTTTAGCTTCGATTGTATGTTGAAATACACCAGGATGAAGCTGGAGCTCTTGAACGACTACGACATGCTACTGATGGTGGAACAGGGCATTCGTGGTGGGCTAGTGCAGGCCGTCAAGCACTATGCAAAGGCCAACAATTCTAAGACACCCGATTACGATCCGTCAAAACCAGAATCATGGATCGTGTACCAAGACTGTAAGTAATCTATACGTATATATATAAACGCGCAATATTTGAGCGGTGGTTTAATAACGTTTAATGTTTACAGGCAATAACCTTTACGGGTGGGCTATGAGTCAGCCCATGCCGTACGGTGGCTTCCGGTGGTATAAAGGAGCAGACCCTCTGGCTGACCTCCAATCGTTGTCGGACACTGGTAATACGGGGCGTATATATGAAGTGGACGTATCGTATCCACAAGAGCTGCATGACGAGCACAACGACTTGCCGTTCTTGCCTGTCAACGATGTACCGCCGGGTTCCAAAGAGACCAAACTCATGGCCACTTTGAAACCCAAACAGCGGTACGTCGTACATTACGTTAATCTTAAACAGGCGATCGCACACGGACTGCAAGTCGATAAAGTATGTATAGTTAACCTATAAACTATAAGCGATGATACTAATATAAATATTTGTACTGCAGGTGCACCGCGTTTTAGAGTTTCAACAAAGTGCTTGGTTGAAACCATACATTGAGTTGAACACTGAAATGCGGAAAAAGGCGGCAAATGCTTTTGAAATTGCATTTTTCAAACTAATGAACAATGCCGTCTTTGGTAAGTGCATGCTCAATGCTAAAGTGGGTTATTCGATAATTTTTTACATTTTATAGGGAAAACAATGGAGAACATGCGGAAACGCATCCGTATTGAGCTAATCTCCAGTCCCGAACGTCTAAGCAAGCTCGTAAACCAACCAACCTTCAACGACTGTATCAAATACGGTGAAAGGTTGTGCGCCGTCATAATGGACACAAAGATGGTCAAGTTTATCAAACCAATATACGTCGGTTTAGCAGTGCTTGACATTAGCAAGACGCTAATGTACAAGTACTTCTACGACGTATTGAAACCACATTATGGCAGTGCAATCGAATTGGTTTACATGGATACTGGTGAGTACAACCGTACAGTAGAAATATTTCTTTACAATATTTATATATTTTTAATTTTTTTTAGACTCCTTCATATACCTACTCAGAGTAAGCGACTTCTACCAGGATTTAGCTAACAGCCCCGATTTACTGGTGTACGTGGACGCATCTAGCCTGCCCAAGGATCACCCTTGTTACTCGACTTCGAGGAAGAAGACGCCTGGTTTGTTTTCAGAAGAGACCGGCAGTCTCACCCTCTTTGAGATCGCTGCACTTCGTTCAAAGTGCTATGCATTCGACATGGAAGGCAGCGAACTCATAAAGTCTAAGGGGATCCGCGGACACGTTGTCCGGAATCATCTGTCTTTGGACGACTACAAACGGTGTTTGTTTAAAGACGATGGTGACGATGCGTCAAAACGAGCATTGGCTCGAGAGAATGCCCGTGCGGTCATCGGAGTGATACGTGGTGCTGAGTGTCCACCGATATTATCGCTACCATACACACCGTACCGACAGAACATGTCAATCCGTTCGTTTGAGCACGAGTTACGCACTTTACGTACAACCAAGTTGGCGCTTAACCGTTTTGATGATAAGCGCTACACGCTCAACAACAGAATCGACACGTTGGCCCACGGGCATTATGCTATACCACCACCGGAAGACCTATAGTTCTTA